AGAGGACTTTCAAACTTAAATCTTTTCCCATATCTCAAACAGTGAATTGTAAGTTAGTGTGTCATACCTTTTAGGTCCCTCTGGACTGTTTGTCATCAAACGTTTTACGAATAGACATAGGCCCATTTAATTATAGTTTCAGTGGAATCGTTTAGACTGAAGGGAAATTCTCCTTCAAGTAACTATCAAATTCAGCAGGATTTTTGCAACCAGTCTTCAGTCTTCAGTAATAAGGATAGTATGTTGATGAACCTGTATTAATCCTGACACTTTGCTTTCCAGTGAAGGTCCAGCTTCTCCTTGAGAGTATTCACTGATGGGGCTGATACCACTTGTTCGGGTAAGGCGTTCCAATCATTGACTACTCGATGAGAAAAACGGGACCCCACTTTAAGTTTATTAGATCGTGGTTTATGAACATTCTTGCTATGACCTCGGAGATTATTGGTGCTGGAGGGAGCAAAAAGATAAGACATATTAACACCCAAATCATAATTAAAGATACGAAATGCCAGTTTAAGGTCACCTCGTGTCCTACGATACGACAAGGGGAAAAGATTTAGGCGTTTTAAACGCTCATCGTAAGGGAGTCTAGAAAGACCCTTCACTAATTTCGTTTCCACACGCTAGACACGCTCAAGGGAGTTAGTATCCTTTACCAGACACGGGCTAGCTGCTTGGATACAGTAATCTAAATGTGGTCTAACATATATGGGATATAAAATTCGAAACGTTTCCTTGTCAAAAGATTTGAACGCTCGGTGAAGTGACCATAATGCACGAAAACCTTTGACAGCGGCTGCCTTGCAATGCGTAGTTGTTTTTAAATCATGACTTAATACTACTCCTAAGTCTTTATACTCTTGAACGCATGGAAGAGGTTTACCCTCAATAGTGTAACGGTAACTATTACCGTGACCGATGTGCATTAGTACACTCTTCCTAGCATTGATTTCTAAGCCCCACTCTCGAGCCCATCTAACTAAATCGTCTAAGTCAGCTTGAAGATCCACATGATCAGCCGCACTTTTTATTGTTCTCCAGATTTTTACATCATCCACAAACAATAATGTCGACGACCTAAGTAACAGCGGTAACTCATTAACGTAGAGAAGGAAGAGCAGAGGGACTAAGATGGTGCCTTGGGGTACACCACTTTTGACCGGCTTCCAATCGGATAGCGTTCCGTTGACCCTAACTCTCTGTCTGCGGTCACATAAGAAATTTCCTATCCACTCATGTACAGTACCTATTATTCCGAAGCTCGTGAGCTTCTGCGTAAGACCTACGTGTGAAACCTTGTCAAATGCTTTGCTAAAATCTATGAATATCATATCGACAGACAGACCGTTATCTAGGGCTGCTGTCCAATCCTCCCTCGCAATAAGCAAGTTAGTCAAGCATGAACGCTTGTTACGAAATCTGTGTTTCTCAGGAGCTAACAGATTGTGTAAATCTATGTGGCTTAGCAACCTAACCCGAATTATCTTTCCAAGTAACTTAACGACTATGCTAGTTAGACTGACAGGCCGGTAGTTAGATACTATCTGTCGCTGACCGTCCTTAAATATAGGACTAACTATAGCGTCCTTCCAATCTCTAGGGAGTTGAGCGAGTGAGAGGGACATGTTGAAGAGTGTCGCAAGCGGTTTTGAAATAATGTCCGCAAGAGATGACAGCAACCGTGGATGTAACCCGTCAAGGCCCAGTTTCTTACCAGGTTTGAGGTTAGTTATCAACGGAAGGACAGTTTCCTCAGTCACCTGTACAGATTCAATGGTTGGTATCTCGGTGTGAGTGGGACAAGTATTTGTTACAATAAACGTAGAGAAGACTTCGCTAAAATAGTTTGAAAAAGTCTCAGATTTTGCTCGATCTGATTCAGCTAGTAATTCTGAATTTTCGTGTAACACTAACGGGGGAATACCATCACTACGTTTCATTTGCCGCTTAACAATCGTTTCGGACAAGTACGGCTATCATATACTAACTGTCGTTCGTAAGTGGTACGGGATTTCGCTATGGTTTTCTTACAGATATTGCGGTATTTTTGGTACTCACGCTTAAATGGTGCATGACCTGTCAACAAGAATAAGTCCCAGAAATGTTTCCTACGCTTTAACAGCTTCCGGGTTTCCTTATTAATCCATGGAGGGCAATGTGATAGCTTACGTGCTGACCATGGGATAAACGGCGACGTTACGGACTCGAATGTAGCCTTAAACTTATTCCATTCATCTTCGATCAATCCATCCGCGTCGACCGACCAATGAGTCGAGATAGCACAGTTTCTGATTTCCGGAATATTAGCTCGCCAGATATTGGGACGGGGTGGAGCAGATACGAATTGTATACCATGTGTCCTAAACTTAAAGTGAATTACAACGTGATCACTGTTCACTAGTGGGGGAAGGTGCTGGATATCAAAGACATCCTCACAGTGGTGGGTGAGGGCAAGGTCCAGCAGTGACGGATCATGTTGCAAATCAATATGTGTTAGTTTTGTGATACATTGTACAAGCGCACACTGAATAACGGTAGATAAAAGATCGCTATCGAAACCACTACCTGGAGCTGTAAGCTCTATCCAGTTGATATGCGGTGCGTTGAAGTCCCCAATGGTGAGACAACATTCTGCCATACTCCAAGAACAGATGTGTCTTAGGATAAAGTCGTCAGCAAGACAAGACGGACTACGGTATATTCCCCCTATAGTCACTAAACCATTTCTAGATTTAATCTTACAACATGCAACCTCACATGTGCCACTGATATGAGCCTCCGATATGGTTGATTGTATACGAAAGAAATCCCTAACGTAAAATATTATACCTCCCCCCTTGCGACTTGAAACTCTATCACTTCTGATACAGATATAACCAGCAATGAAAGGAGAACAGTCTATATCAACGGTGAACCAAGTTTCTGTAACAACGATTATATCGGAACATAATTTTTGCACCATCAGACTTAGCTCGGACGTTTTATTTCTAAGACTACGAGCGTTCGTGTAGCACACACTTAAGGTGTTTTGGAAATCAATCGTTCTACCCATACAGGCCTCGGAAGCATTGGCTTCCAAGACCTGACTACCCGAAAACCCTTAATGGTAAGGTTATTTTCGCCATTTAATTTGCGAGTCCTCAACTCCGTAAGAGCATTCTTCCACTTGATTCGATCCTCAAGCGGCCAATCTGGTCGAATACGGAAATTTGAGGCACTAGTTTTTAGTGCGCTTTTCAATAATATGTCTCTTTCTTCAAAACTCCCGAGAACCAGCTTCAGGATTCTTCTTGGTTGGGTCTCGCCTCCAACCCATTTACCAAGTCGTATTACTTTTGTAATATGTACCCCTGAAACCTCTTCGGGTAGTACATTCTTTACCACAGACTCCACTAACTGCAGGTCATGTGCATGTCTTCTAGCAGGGTCGTTGTCTTTCGACTCCTCTAGATTCCAAATAATTAAACTAGGGAGGGGTTTAGCTTCTTTTGAAACTGTGTTCACAGCTTTCGACCGTGACGTTAGATCCTGTATTTTAACTACTGGTGTCTTAAGATTAGTTTTTATTGTAACAGAGTCCTGGGAATCGAGCGAGTGACTCACAACAATGTTAGACGAAGTTTTACTTTGAGACTTTCAGATTGGTCTGAGAGTCCACCAAGGACTTAACAAGTAAACAGTCATTAGTTTTAGTTGTCTTTCTTACTCTTCTGCGTTTTCACTTCATCCATTTTCCATCAGTCGTAGCATCGACATTAGAACAACTCGGGACGGTAATTGTCTTATCTGGATCACTAGTCGCAGCTGTAGCAATATGACCACCAACGTCTAATGATGTGTCACTCACTGATCGTTTCGGGAGAGAACGTTTAACTGCGGGTTGCACAGGTAGATGTCTGGCTTGCGCAGTGAGAGCACTTACGACACTGACGCAATCTTCGCCATCAGTGCCAATGTTACCAGTACAGCCCTCATCAACCTTCTTATTAGCCAACATCAGGAGGCTAACTGCTTTCTGGATGAGTAATGTTTTGCTCGAGCAACAAAAACTACAAGGCCAATGAGAGTTGGGCTTTGAGCATCTTTTATATGCAGTGGGGCTTAATCGGGTACACATCTTATGGAACCACTTATTACACTCATCACACTGCATCCTTTCCTCCACGGGAAATAAGCAGTATGGTTGTCCAAATTTATGAGCAGATCTAGCCGTCTTGAAAATCGACTACAACGGTGACATAAACAGGATATGTAAAAGGATTCTCAAACCTTAACTAAATAAATCAAGTAAAAGTCGATGCAATAAATACACAAAAGCAAGGTCGAAACACTCAATACAATATCACATTAACTGGGGTGGATGGAATTAAAGTGTAAACAGTACTTTTGATCCGTAATTTACGATCAAAATAGTTAATTAACTCAATGAGAAACAATACCACTGTCCTTTTAAATAGAGCGCGAAAAAACCGAGTAGCTAGATTGTTTACATTGAACTATTCCAAGGAGCCGGAAAAGCGTTTCAACTGGGAGAAACTAGAATAAAGCACATATTTGCTTTTTTGACTCACACGTAGATATTGGACATTGATTGCGAGACGGCGCCGGTTACGGGCTTTCGTGACCTTGGAAAGTGCACTGCCTGCGACTATGGTGGGAATGACATTCCCCACTTCGCTCTGATTGGTCGCCAAGTTGACTGTCGATATTACGAACCGGAGTTGAGTTTGTTTCCAGTCGTTGATGCACTAGCATTGTAAAATGGGTTCTCTCCTCGAAGCAATAGACGACAATGTCGTCGTTTTCATGTCACTTCCCGCTATTGTTCTGTTTTTGATTGCCGTTGGATGCGTTTGGTATGCACGTCTTAATAATCGTTGGATTAATTATGCGACCGTAGGGGATATTTTCGACCATCCTCACGTCCTAGACAAAGTACCCAGTCTTCGACGAGAATTAGAAGTGTGAGTAATTCGGATTATGATTGCCCGATATGTATGGAATTCCCTTCACTCATGATTGAGACGAACTGTGGTCATCGATTTTGTGGTAAGGCTTTAGTTCAGATCTTAGTTCCGTACCATTCATTTTTGTATGTAACTTATTTTGATTTTCATCCGTTGTTTATAGACGATGTTCTAAAGGCAACAAATTACCCTTGAGAAACTCTAGCCACTTACTAAGGTCGGAATAGAGTCATAAACTAGTGTGGGGAAATATAATTAAAATTAGGGATTCGTTCACGGACCTACGTCAGTCATAGTGCTTTAATGCTACTTAACTATGTGGACGAATACTTTCTTGTCGAAAACCCAAAATATACTACTTCAAATATAATTGTTTCTTTCGTAGATTATAGCCACTGAGAAACTATCAGCTCGACATTTTCATACAAAGTCGCTTTTGTAATCCGTCTTTTCTGTAGCAACTAATAGGTTCACTATCATCTAGAGTTAGTAGACAAACTGACCGGTCGACCACTTGTCAACCTATTGTCTAAAGAAGCTTGGTTTACAGATAAAAGAACTTCATATCGACAAACTTTTTCTATACTGTGGACAACTGGTTAGAGTGCCCGTTCTTGGGTTTAGGTCTACCAAAGTCATATTGGTAACTAAAATCATCTGTCTATTCATAGTTCAAACCTAAGTATAGTCGTTAAGGTGTCTTTACTCAAATATGCACATCTTGCGGTTTGTCTTTTGAAGTCCCAGTCTTAAAAACGGCAAAAATAGCCACTTTTCAATATGGTGTGCTTGATTTTTTTCATTCCATCCGTACAGCCTTGTAACTATACCACATTATTAAAGCAGTCAGTCAGTCAGTCAGCTACAACGTAGGACCAGGCACATATGTGCATCGGTCCAGGTTGCCATACCTCATTAGCACAGCAAGATGAACAGCGGATTCATAGGAGTGGTTAGGTCAAAGGTTGCAATAAGGATATAGTATAGGAAGAAAGAATTAGTTCGTAGACAGAAAGAATGAAGTGATTTTAATCTCTTAGTTTAAGGGAAGACAGGGAGTGTATACACCGACGCCATTGTGATCGATTCTGAGCCATGTCACCAAGAGTCTCCAACCATTGGTTACGAAAGTCACGCGGACCCCAACCAAGTAGTCTGCATCTACCAACATGGCTCAGACTAGAAGTTAGTGACTTCAGGCACTGATGCCACGTTTTGGTTTAGCCGCCCCTAACTTTCTTCCAACCATCCCCTACCCCGGTTAGCATTGCACGTCGTGGTAATCGGTGTTCAGGCATACGTAATACGTGGCCCAACCATCTCAGTCGATGAAGATTCATAACCTCATCAACTGATTTACCATCATTCCCTAATACCCTGCGTCTAACCTCGCTATTACTTACCCGGTGATCCCAGCAGATGCCAGCAATATTTCTAAGGCATCTGTGGTCAAATATTAGTAGCTTACGGGTGTCTTCTACTCTTAAGGGCCATGTTTCGCTGCCGTAAATTAAAACAGAACGAACTGCCGCGCAGTATACTCGTCCTTTTATTGATAGACGGATATCTCGCCTTCGCCAAAGGTGACGTAAGTTGGCAAAAGCCAAACGAGCTTTTCGAATCCGTGCTGAGATTTCGTCCGATATCAACCCATTAGGGCTGATCAGACTTCCAAGATAAGTGAAGTTGTCAACGCGTTCGACTACTTCACTCCCTATCCTTAGTTCAGGTGTTGACGCAGACCAGTCCTGAAGCAACAACTTGCATTTAGAGGGAGAGAAGCGCATCCCAAACATTCTGGCATTGTTGCTTAGTGCTACCAGAAGACTCTGCATTTTGTCAGCGTCTTCACCAAACAGGACTATGTCATCTGCGTATTCTGCGTCGATAAGTGAACCTCCTGGAAGGAGATCAATACCCGAGAATTCAGTCGACGAGAGTGTTATTTCCATCAATAGGTCTATGATGAAGTTAAACAAAAATGGAGAAAGTGGACAGCCTTGACGGACACCACTTGAGGTTGCAAAAGTAGATGACAGTTCGCCATAGGCCCTGACTCGACTAGTAGTGTTCGAGTAAAGAGCCTTCACAAGGTTTATGTACTTGTGAGGTACGCCTTTCAATGACAGACACTGCCACAGAGTCTCGCGGTCTACCGAGTCAAATGCTGCTTTTAAGTCAAGAAATACCACCATCGTCGGACGCCGATAGGTATGCCTGTGTTCTAGAACCTGACGAATGGTGAATATGTGGTCGATGCAGCCACGACCAGGTCTAAAGCTAGCTTGGTTCTCTCGAGTTTGTAGTTCACGAGTCTTAGTTAGGCGTTTGATAATTATCGAGGCCAGTATTTTAGATACTATGTTTGTTAAACTAATCCCTCTGTGGTTGTCACAGGATGATTTTGACCCTTTCTTATATATTGGGACGATAAGTGATTGCGACCAGTCAGATGGGATAAAGTCTAATTCCCAGATCTTAGCTAAAATATTAGTCAACTTAATCGCTAAAATTGGACCACCATCCTTAAAGACCTCTGGAGCCAATCCATCTGGACCAGCTGCCCTTCCTCGTTTCAGATTAACTATAGCCTTTTGAACTTCAGCAAGAGTCGGGGGACCTACTTCAATGTTCCATTCACACTGTCTGGGAATGGAGGGTAGTTGTAGAGTAACTGAAGGCCAGCTGAACTGTTCCCTAAAGTGTTCCGCCCATCGTTCTAGACGCCTGGACTGGGAGCAGATGAGAGTATCATCTTTTTCCGAAATAATCTCACTTACACTTGACTTATTAATTCCAGTTTCTTTTATTAGTCTGTAAAGCTGTCTTGTGTTCCCTATAGTCGCCGCCTTTTCCATCTCTTTTGCTTTCGTTACCCACCACTGCTCACGGTCGTTTCTTAGACTTTTTCTTAACCTAGATCTGATTTGTTTTCGCTCTTCATCATGTTCAGAACCTGATGGGACGAGTTTGCGAGAATCCAGCAGTGTGACAGACTTTGAAGAAATCCACTGGTTCCTTGCAACTCTGTGGTTTAAGTCACTAATAGATGTCACTGCTGTTTCCACAGCTGATTGTATGCCCTTCCAAGCAACATCTGGGTCAGCCTCGTCTTCACAACTACCTAAGTGTGACCTCAGTTGTTCCTGGAACCTACTTTTGGTTTTCTCGTTACTCAAGTCAGTTCTAACGGGTCTTTTTAATGTGGCTTTTTTGCGTCCAGTGAGGCGCAAGCAGATGCGTGCCCGTATTAGGGCATGGTCGGAGTCCAAGCAGGTACTCCAGAATGAGCGACAATCTTCTACCGACCCTCTCCAACGATGACTGATGGCAATATGGTCTATTTGAGTCCATCGTTGGTTTGGTGCAGGCGGTCGCCACGTTAGACGATGTCTCTCCTTATGCTTAAAATTTGTGTTTGCTAAAAATAAACGATTGTCTGAGCATAGCTGCAGCAGACGATCACCATTATTTGTTCGCTGTGTCGGAATACTAAAATATCCACCTAAATGCCTTTCTGTTTGGTTTAAACTGCCTATGTGAGCATTAAAATCACCTGCTACGAGTACTATGTCTGAGCGTTTAGCTTTCTGAAGAAGTTCGGACAGCTTTCTGTAAAATTCATCTTTCACATCATCTGAGCTGCAGTCAGTGGGAGCGTAGGCAGAAACGACAAAAAGGCAATGACGTGTGTCCCTATCCTTCCGAGTTCTTACGTAGCCGTTCAGCCGAACAGCACATAGACGACTGTTGACGGGGATCCACTCTAGCAGTGCTTGTTCGGCCCTCATGCTTAGTGCTATGCCTACACCTGCCAGTCCACGAGAACTTGCCATCGGGTCACCAGATACACGAAGGGTGTACCTCGTTGGCTCTCCGTTTTGCCGAGGTGAGGTCAAGTGAATGACCACACTGGAATCCTGTATGCGTGTTTCGGAGACACAGCACACGTCAATGGTAAGAGACTCTAGGGTTTTAGCCAAGGAAGCCTGCTGACCGATTTGACATATGGTTCGTACGTTGAAGGCTCCAATGTGTAGTGTGGAGCGAGGTTTCAGTAGACCTGGGATAGTATTTTGCGCACTAGAATCGTTGGCTATGGTGACACTTGAGGTGGAAGCCGAGAGAGGAAATTTAAAGTTGAAAGTCGATGTAGGAGGAATAATAGGAAGTGAAGACGGAGGTTGATTATGAATACAGTGGTCTCGAGTGCTGTTAGAGGTATGAGGGCGGTTTTCACTTCCCGGTTGCCCACACCGTGGAAGGGTTGTTCTGGAGGTACCTGAAAAGGAATTTAGATTAAAGGTGGTCTTAGTGACCTGAGAGCGTGACCGCAGTGCCCAAGGGACAACTGCTTGAGGTCGGTCACACACGACCTTGTTATGGGTAATTTTTGTGTTAGCTCCGTACTTATTGAGACCTTACCGCCGGAGACGGATATCCGTGGGATAAGGCGAGGTGTGCATTTTTAGGGTCGACCTTTTCTAACCCCACCCCTCCTTGTGGGAAGGCAGCATCTCTGTCATGCTGGTTGTCTGAAGGAAACACCTTACTGCTGTCACACCTCTGTACAGTCAGCAGTACGACTTCGCCTTCGGACCTTGGGTTTGTTGCTTTTAGTCTTACCGCTCTTCAACCGACCTGTCTGACATGGTAGGACCTTGAGGAACGGTTGTTCCAGCCAGTATAGCTCGGTTGGTTCATCACGATAGGCAAGCCCGACCACCACGTCAAGGTAGCAACAACGGTCGGGTATTAAGGCAGTTGTAGTCCAAAATACATTTTGTGTAAGTTAAGCTATAATTCTTTGCCACTACTTTTTATACTGGGGAAGTGAATGGTAAGATAAGGGTCCTCAAATATATCAAACCTTTTATTTATTATTTATCTAAACACAAACATTAGTACAAGGAGGCACCAAATATATACGCGTATCGGGGATATTGTAGTTTATAGACGACCTTTGAGCGAATCTTGAGTGTCCTTGAGGAATATCGGCCAATCACAAAAGAGTTGATATATATTATATTATACAAAAGCAAGGGATTAAAGTGGATACACTTCTTTTACATGGTTCAAAAACTCGTCAATGTTGGAAAAAGGTTCAGAGGTTCTAAAATCCCAATGCATACGTTAGGGGAAATCGTCCATATGGCTGTATATTAGCCGGCATCTGGAGCCATGATAAGATCTTAGAAACTCTTCCAGCCTCGACCACATGGCTTCAATATTGTTTGTTTGCACTCCGATTATTGGGTTCATAAGTTACCACTTCTGGATAACGACATGATGCACATAACAAAGTCTGTCCATTCATCTGTACGCTCTCCAATCATCCGTATATATTGTAGTACCTGGCTCCAGCCAGTGTTACTGGTGCTTTTGTTATCCAGTTCACAACACTTATCATAATTTACCTTAATCTCAATCTGGATCGAGCGGAAAAATTCTATTCTAGCAGACGTCTTCCTCCAACACATATTACATCGAAAGACGACATCATGGTAGTCTACACAAGGTCCACAAATCATTTGATTACCACAATCACGAATAAAGGAGTTTCTTAGTAATCCCATTTGTTGTAACCGCCCAATTATCACGTTTTCTCTAAGATCCGCCACGAACCCATCGTACGTTAGCATCAGGCACTGAAATTGGCGCTATGATCTTGAGATCCTTTAAACGTTTCTGATTGGCTCGTCCATAAATTATAATCTCGCCATCAAACCATAAATATTGCTCATGAAACGCAGGTTTCATGATACATAACTCTGGTTAATCGATATATTTAGTGTTTCAAGACAATAGGAGCCAGCAGTAATGAGTAGTTTCACTGGAGAATTATAAACTGTTGATATTTAGGTCTAGTGTAATTGCCAAGATATTCCACAACAACCCACAGTACGATTTCTTGATCTCCTTATCCTCAGGTGGATTACTGAGTGACCCCTCAGTCCTGTCTATTCCCCTTGGTAAAGCACACCTGATCAGATTAATGTATAAATGGAGTTTGGTCTTCATCTATCAACAGTGATGAGTAACGAAAATATATGTTTCTCTTGTTATGTTGGAATAAACTAAATCTTGGTTAGTATCTCACCCTAGGATTGGAAACAAACACAAAGTTCGACTCTCAGATGTTTGAATTATAGCGCTGTACTTAAATCCCCGATTGGACAGACTACGTCCACTGAGAAGACACTCAAGTTTGAACACCTATCCAAACCCACAAAGTGGTGTGTTTCATGTATTATAATTTGATAAGCTTTTTCGGCTAGTATCAACTCTACTCATTTCAAAGTAATCATTTTAACCCGGTTATTGCGAACACTTGTGGTGTATATTTCCATATGATAGCTATTAACTTTGAAATAATTGTAAGTCCAGAGATAGGGAAGCAAATAAATAGATAGTATGACGTAGCTCAATGGTTAGTTTATCCATCTAACGAGTTCATTGCATTGGAATAAAAATTTCATTATGCTCAGCATTTTGAATAACCTGTTTTTTAATCAATTTATGTCGTTTTTTACCGATATATATATGTTTTATAATTTTTAGCTGAGTGTTTTATTCTTCATTGGAAACGGACGATATATTCACGTATCATATCCTGTCCTATGTGTCGTGGACGAGTAAGTACAACACTTTTAATCCTCGTTTTCAACTTTTAATGCTCGTTAGGTAAATTTTTGATCACAATTTATGGACGGCTTATAAAGTCTTATTTATTACTCTTAATCGAAATTTATATCTTTGTAGTTCATTGATCTTTTTAATGACCAATAAATGCTCCTTCTTTCAATTTAATTTATGCTTGAAATAATTAATATATTGCGGAGAAAATCATTTTTAGGAAAGCCTGTTTTTAGATAACGTGTTTACGTTGTGAAGATTAATATATTATTATTAACACGTTTAAGTGTTGCTTTTAACTATTTACTATTCTGCAGTGTGATTCTCAAGTATTAAATGTGCTAACATTGTAATCATTGATGTTATATGTTCAGAAGCTGACTGTATGCTCATTGGACTTTTCCTTCTGTCTTACATTGTTGCGAAGTTCCAGATTCATGATTATCGCATCCGATTTCCAACTATTATTTCATGTTCCAACTCCGTTCTCTTTACGAAGGTTTCTACACTGATTCAGTAAAATTAGTTTTTACATAATTCGTGAGGCTCATAACTGAAGATTTTATGAATTCAATAAACTGTCAAGTTCATACAATATTGTTTAAATACAGCTATACTTGTCTCAAGTTCATTTTTATCTAGGCTAACCGAATTTGTTTATTAATCACAAAAAGAGTAACTAACCGTTTGTGTATGTTAACTGTGTTACTTTCCAAAATTCACTAAATGTTCAGTTTTGTGGGGATATTACTGACTTGACTAATTTCGAAAACTAATCATGAACAGATCTACAAATTTTCCATCGGAAATATAAATCTAAAAAGAGCTTTTTGTCTGTGGTAGTACGCCAAATAAGCTCTTTGTGTTTTGACTAGAATGAAGTTATTCATTTGCGGAAAGCTCTGTTTCACTGGGTTCTTTACACAACTTATCGACTGGGTTTGCCAACAGTGAAGTTGAACATAGGCATATCGTCCCCTTGGAATTCTCCATCTGTTACTTTTCGTCTTGTTGACTCATAATAGGCTGTTAGAACTTCCCTATCTCTCAGAATCAACAGTAAACAAGAGTGATCATGTTTATCTTCATAGGTCAGATCTGTATATCTATATACTTCAGGATAGATTGCTTGGATAGTTACAATTTCTCTTATGAGGTGTGACAACTAGGACTGATGTACATATGTGCCTGGTCTTACGTCGTAGCTGACTTTCTGACTGATTACGAAGCACATTTCATCAAGTTACCAAAGACGGTGTGAATAGCAGGACGTTATGGAACCTTCTTCGACACTTTGGTGTACCTGAGATAGTTGTCAACATCCTGAATTCATACGACGGACTACAGTGCAAAGTGCTGCATAGATGACAGCTGACAGACACATCCCAAGTAAAAGACCGGAGGTAAACAAAGCTGTTTATTCTCTCCCTTTCTATTTGTTCTGGTGGTTGACTGGATTATGAAGACCTCGATATCTGACAGGAAGCACGGAATAAAATAGATAGGCTAGATACAACTAGACAGTTTGGACTTCTCAGATGACCTATATCTATCTCATACATACCAACAAATGCAGGTCAAGACAAACAGTTTAGCGGAAGCCCCTACCCTATAGCAGTAGGCCTCAACGTACATAAGGGGAAAAGCAAGATTCTCAAATACAACGTGGAGAACACCAACCCAATCAAACTTGATTGAGAAACTCTGGAAGATATGGAATCTTCCACGTACTTAGGAAGCATCATCAATGTACAAGAAGGATCGGATGCAGACGTAAAGGCGAGGATTGGCAAAAGAAGGACAACATTTCTACAATTGATGAACATATTGGACGCAAAACAACTAAGTAAATGTCAAAATGAGGATCTTCAATACGAACATCAAGATAATTCTACTGTACGGATCTGAAACTTGGAGAACTACCACAACCATCAAGGTGAAAGTATTTATCAACAGTTGTCTACGCAAGATATTCGATGTCCGTTGGCCAGAAACCATCAGCAACAGTCTGCTGTAGGAGAGAACAAACTAACTTCCCGCTGATGAGGAAATTAAGAAAACACTTTGGAAGTGGATGGGACATATATTGCAGAAACTACCAAACTGCATCACGATTCAAGCGCTTACCTAGTATCATAAAGGGATACGGAAGTGAGGAAGACGGGAGAACACACTACGTTGAAAATTGAAAGCAGACATGAAAAGGATGGATAGCAACTGGAAAGAATTTTCTAGGACAGTTGGATGGATAATGCTGGTGGAACCCCGAAACGACTGAATAGTCGATGTAGTTTTCTAACTGTTCAGCCTGAAGTTCGATGTTCCATGAGAAAAATTTCTCCCCACCTGCTATATGTGTCAACAACCAGAAGGTAAATTTGTCCATGACGTGGATCAGCAAAGTCCATATGCATACGCTGCCACGGTTACTGATATTGAACATGATTGCAGCTGTTTCCCGTTGTACTTTCGTTGGTAACCCCCATTTGTTATATGAACGAGATAGCTGCTCCAGTTGTATGTTTACGTACGACCAGTATACACACTTCATGCTGTCACTTTCATGCGACTTATTCCAGGATGTCCTGCATAGGATAAATGAAACACTACTAGACGTAGCTTTTTTGGGATTATGACAGATTCGGCTAGTGAAAAGCTGTAATCGATAATCTGAAGAAATAGTCTGTTCTGGTACAACTACTAAGATTTGAGGATCTGATCTTCGAGGCTCACCCTTCTATGTGTAGTTTTTATAGAGCTGGGTCTCGAATAGCTCCTTCCTTTAATTCATCTTGAGCCACCGGAGTGTTCCGAATAGCATCTGCCACTGCACACCTTATTTCTGAATATACAGCTATGAAGGCAATGATCTTGTCTTCCAGTCCAGTGTGTTGAACTCTAATCAATTCAGGGACAGCGTCAGCTTGACAGATAGTATTTGTTGACTGATATATGATATTAAAGTCATAGTTCATAAGCATTGTCGCTCAATGATGTAATCTATTGGCTGTATAAACAGGGATTTCTTTCTTAGAACCAAAAATTGCAATCAAACATTTATGGTTTGTCTGTATAGTAGACGTAGGGCCATAGAGCATTTTATGGAAACTTAGCGGTGAAAATGACTGCAAGGACTTCCTTTTCCATCTGGCTGTAGTTCGGCCCGACTGGGGTAAGTGATCTATCAGTATGAACAATTGTTTCTAATTTATCCGGAAACACGTGAGATATCACTGCTTCAACTTAATGACTAGAGGCATCAGATCCAACAAGAACTCCCAAACTCTGGTCGAAGTGTTTTAAAATAAGCTTGGAGTTGAGCATTGACTTGACCTTGTTGAAAGATGCTTTACATTTCACTGGCCATTGCTAAGGTACTTTTTGTTAGTAATTTATTCAGGAGGCCTCTCACTCAATGCATTTTAGGCAGAAATGTGCTGTAATGAAGAATATATCCCAAGAAGGATCTTAATGAAGGGATATTAGTTGGCATCTTCTGAATGGCTTCTATGTTGACAGGGTCTGGTCGGCGACCGTTCTTATGTAAGATGGAACCAAGGTATTCGATCGAATACATGAAGACGATACACTCCTTTTCACATATTTGGAAATCGTGTTCCATCACTCAGTTAAGAACATAATGTAGCCTATCAGAAAGCTCAATGTCAGTTGAAACTATAACAATAATATTATCTAGATAGGCTGCTGCTCCAGGTATACCTGTCTACATTATATTCACTATTTGCTGAAAGATGACACGTGTGGTCCGAATGCAGTATGGTAGACGAATGTATTGAAATAACCTTTGATGAGTGTTGATAGTTAGAATCTCTCTGCAATCGTCGTCTACTTTCACTTGCAGATAGGCAACGGAAGTCTATTTTCTTAAACCTTTTTCACCACTTGACTTAGCAAACGGGCCCGGTTATGTCAGCATATATGATATAGTTTCATTGACCTTTCTAATCACTACGATCGGTGCTGTTCATTCAGAGTATTTGACTAATTAGGCTACAACAGCTTTTTGCAAATGTTCAAGTTTCTGGTCGACTGGTTCAAGAGCGGCATGCGATGCAGAACGCTTCGAAGGCAAAATAGGTTTAGCATTTGGTTTCACTAGCAAGTCAGCTTACATCCTGGTGCAGTGACCAAGGGTATTCTTGAAAACAGCAGCAAAGTTTCTCCTTAGCTTTTCTAGCAACCTTTTACCCGTCGTTTTTGCAAATATCAGGGTGTTAAACGACGAACACGACACATTCCAGACACTGTCAATGGATATATCTATTATTCCAAGTTTTCGTAACATATCTAGATCAAGGTTTGGCCGTCCTGTTATGTAGCATATTCTTTTACAGTTAGTTCCATAGAGGGGAAATTCACACTGTAGTTCACCAACCAGTTTTAGCACTTCGCCTAATGCGCGATTAGCAGTCTTCTTCTATGGCTTTATTGGCGGCTTCCAAAGCAGGTTATAAATTTCTCTAGGGTGATATCGGATGTCGTGTCAACGTGAAGACATGTTGAGATGCCGTTAATTAGGATAGTAACATACTTTTTCCGAATGTCGTAGTCTGTTTGGAAAGCTCTCATCAGAGAAAGTGATTTAGATTCGGCTAATTTCACCACGTGTTTTTTATTAGGCAGGAACGTACGATTCAGTGGACAATAGCGTTCTTTATATCCATGTCTATTGCACACCTGACATTTATGCTTCTTAAATAGGCAGAATCGTGAATAATCCTAATCACCACATAGCTAACAGGCAGTCGTTGGTTTGTTACAAGTTGTTCTCAGCTTCTGAGCTTTTAACGTAGCAATAGTATTAACATTGCTGCAGATTAAGTTCGGATTTACTTGTCTAATTAACTCATTGTCGTACTTGATGTTTTGTAGCTGTTTACGCTTATCTGTCAGTATCTTGAGTGTGACGTTTGGATCTTGATTCAGTCGAGCTAAAAGTCTAGTCCTGATACCAGCATCTTATGGTGACTGAAGAACT